TTGCGTCGCTAATCTTGACGCATGATTGTTTTCTCATATTCGTTTCCCTGCGGTGACGGGCAGTCGTCCAGGAATGCTGAGGCGTTTTGGGGGGCGCACCTTGGGCCCGCTAAAGGCGCGTAGGCCAGACCCCCTTAAGTACTCCATGCAGCGTGGTTGGTCTTTTTCTTTCCCTCTTAGCCGAGGCGGAAATCGTTTGGAATTCGCAGGGGGTATGGAAGGGTGAGTTGAGTGGACCTCACACCTCTGTTCCCGAGTCCCGCCACTGTCTCCCGCGGGCCCGAGGCCCACGCGGAGCGGGCGGGATTCGGGACGGTGCGTGCGTGAAGTCCGCTCATCTCACCTTTCTGTCCATCTACTCCAGATTTCGTAATAAAAGGGAGGGGGTCTGTACCCTCCAAGACAAGCCATTTCAGACCTCCCCCGTGGGAGAACCCTCCAAAACATCGCCCCCAGACCCCCCAGGCCCTCCAAGATAGCCCGGAAGAGACCCCCCCCGAAATGAGACCCCCCTTCCTTTATGACGAAATCTGGAGTGTCCTGTCATCTTCTCGGCTGAGGTACGGGACAGCATGCGCGCCCCCGCTGCCGCATGTGCGGGGGGAGAGCGTTTGTTCTGCTGTCCCGGGTGTCCTCTGCCCGCGGACCGTGCGGCGGGTTCGGCTCTCTGCTGCCGGCCTCCGCGCACGGCTGTTGTCGTTGTTGCTGTTGTCGTTGGTGTGCTGGTTGTGCTGTTGTTTTGTTGTTGTTGTCGTTGTTGTTGTTGCTGTTGTTGTTGTTGTTGTTGTTATTAGCGACGCTCGCTGGCGCCGGTATGATCGGAATAATCGGATCCGATTATTCCGATCATTGGATGGTCGGAGTAATCGGATCCGATTATTCCGATCATTGAATGATCGGAGTAATCGTAATCGATTATTCCGATCATGCAACCGCAGTAGAGCACAAGCCCATGTGTATGATCGGAATAATCGGATCCGATTATTCCGATCATTGAATGATCGGAGTAATCGGATCCGATTATTCCGATCATCCAATGATCGGAGTAATCGGATCCGATTATTCCGATCATTGAATGCTCGGAGTAATCGGATCCGATTATTCCGATCATCCAATCATCCAATGATCGTAATCGGATCCGATTATTCCGATCATCCAATGATCGGAGTAATCGGATCCGATTATTTCAGGATCCGATTATTACGATCATCCAATGATGGAGTAATCGGATCCGTTATTTCCGATACCAATGATCGGAGTAATCGGATCCGATTATTCCGATCATCCAATGATCGGGGTAATCGGATCCGATTATTCCGATCATCCAATGATCGGAGTAATCGGATCCGATTATTCCGATCATCCAATGATCAGATTATTCCGATCATTGGATGATCGGAGTAATCGGATCCGATTACTCCGATCATTCAATGGTCGGAATAATCGGATCCGGTTATTCCGATCATTCAATGATCGGAATAATCGGATCCGATTACTCCGATGATCCAATGATTCAGATGATCCGAATCATTGGATGATCGGAATAATCGGATCCGATTACTCCGATCATTCAATGGTCGGAATAATCGGATCCGATTACTCCGATCATTCAATGATCGGAATATTCGGATCCGATTACTCCGATGATCGGCCGGGTGCCGGCCCGAGCTCCGGAATCGGCCCGGACGGCCTCCCGGGCGCCAGAAGCAGAAATTCAGCATTTTCGAAAGAAAAATGTGTATTGGAATGGCCTTTTTTCGGCGCCGCCTCGGAACTCGATTTTCCGGCGCCCGGGCGCCGGCTCGGGCGCCGACCCAAGCGTCCGGCACGGGAGCCGGGCCGGGTGCCGGCCCGAGCTCCGGAATCGGCCCGGGCGGCTCCCGGGCGCCGGAAGCAGAAATTCAGCATTTTCAAAAGAAAAATGTGTATTGGAATTGCCTTTTTTCGGCGCCGCCTCGGAACTCGATTTTCCGGCGCCCGGGCGCCGGCTCGGGCGCCGACCCGGGCGTCCGGCCCGGGAGCCGGGCCGGGTGCCGGCCGAGCTCCGGAATCGCGCACCGGACGGCTTTCCCGGGCGCCGGATCGAAGCAGAAATTCAGCATTTCCGAAAGAAAAATGTGTATTGGAATGGCGTTTTTTCGGCGCCGCCTCGGAACTCGATTTTCCGGCGCCCGGGCGCCGGCTCGGGCGCCGACCCGGGCGTCCGGCCCGGGAGCCGCTCTCGGCGGCGAGCAAGAGCACCGATCCCGAGTAGAAAAAAAGGAAGTCTCGAGCCGGAGCGTTGTTGTTGTTGATCGGAATAATCGGATCCGATTACTCCGATCATTCAATGATCGGAGTAATCGGATCCGATTACATCCGAATCATTCAATTGATCGGAATAAACGGACCGATTATTCAGATCATCCCAATGACGGAGTAAATTACGGATCGATTATTCCGATCATTGAATGATCGGAGTAAATCGTAATCGATGTTACGATCATGCCAACCGCAGTAGAGCACAAGCCCATGTGTATGATAGGAATAATCGGATACGATTTCCTCCGATCATTGAATATCGGAATAATCGGTCGATTATATTCCGATAATCCAAGATCGGAGTAATCGGATCCGATTTAGTCCGATCATCACCGATCGGGAGTCAATCGGATCAGATTATCCGATCATCCACTGACTCGGGAAATCGGAATAATCGGATCCGATTACTCCGATCATTGGATGATCGGAATAATCGGATCCGGTTACTCCGATCATTCAATGATCGGAATAATCGGATCCGGTTACTCCGATCATGCACATGGGCTTGTGCTCTACTGCGGTTGCATGATCGGAACAATCGATTACGATTACTCCGATCATTCAATGATCGGAATAATCGGATCCGATTACTCCGACCATCCAATGATCGGAGTAATCGGATCCGGTTACTCGATCATTTTCGATGAGCGTGAATACATCGGATTCGGTTACTCGATAATGATGATTCGGAATAATCGGATCCGATTACTACCGATCATTGGTCACCAATGATCGGAGTTAATCGGATCCGATTATTCGATCATCCAATTGATCGGAGTAATCGGACGATTATTCCGTTACTCCGATCATTGGATGATCGGAATAATCGGATCCGATTACTCCGATCATTGGATGATCGGAATAATCGGATCCGATTACTCCGAGCATTCAATGATCGGAATAATCGGATCCGATTACTCCGATCATTGGATGATCGGAATAATCGGATCCGATTACTCCGATCATTCAATGATCGGAATAATCGGATCCGATTATTCCGATCATACACATGGGCTTGTGCTCTACTGCGGTTGCATGATCGATCGGAGTAATCGGATCCGATTATTCCGATCATCCAATGATCGGAGTAATCGGATCCGATTATTCCGATCATAGGGGCGCCAGCGAGCGTCGCCGGTTTGTTGTTGTTGTTGTTGTTGATACCCATTTTCGTCGTCGTCGGTGATGGTGCTCGTGTTGTTGTTGTTGTTGTTGATGGTGTTGGTGTTGCTGTGTCTGATGCATTTGCTGTTGCTGTTGTTGTTGTTGTTGTTGGTGTTGTTGATGTTGCAGTTGTTCGTGCTGATGCTGTTGGTGTTGTTCCTGCTGTTGGTGATGGTGATGTAGTTGTTGTTATTGTTGTTTTGGTGGATTATGGTTGATGTTTCCCACCTGCTCTGCAGCGGAGACTTGGCGTCGAGTCGTCCGCGCGTGGCAGTAATTCTAGACGCTTCGCGTAATCCCACCAGGCCGCCCATAATACATGCCCAAACGAGATGACTTGATCAGGGACGTGGAGGAGCCTGCGGTGTAAGACGTTGTACCCCAGGGGGGGGGAGGATGGAGGAGAAATCTGAGGAGGAACAAGAAGAGGAGGGGACAAAACGATGAGGAGGAGGAGGAGGAGGAGGAGGGCGAACAGAAAAGCCAAAGGCGTCTTGGATGCCCCTCGGAGCCTCTTCGGATCTTTTTCGGATGCTTATTGGAGTCCGTTTGGGGCGTGTGTGGTTCTTTGGCGGTCCGGGGGGGGGGATCTTGAGGAGTTTTGGGTGGCCTTCGGGTGGCCTGTTGGGGTGTTTTGGAGGTCTCGTGTGAGTATTTTGGGGGCAGTTGGGGGCATCTTGGGGGCCGTTTGGGGCCTCCTGGAGACCGTCTTGGGGCACCCTTGGGAGCCTCGGGGGCCATCTAGGATGATATTGATCCAAGAAGGGGGATGCTCTAACTACGCCTTCCCCCCCTCTCCCAGGAGACCAACATGGTGCTAAAACGTTCGTAATATCAATGTTTGTGACTTCCTCGCCGAGGCCTCTTGGTGCGTTTTGGGTGCCCCTTGGGGGGCTCTTGGGGCGTCTTGGGGGTCTCTTGGGAGCCTCTTGGGCTCATCATGGGGGCCTCTTGAGGGCCTCTTGGGGCCTCCTGGGCACTCTTGGGGCAGTCTTAAGGCACCCTTGGGAGCCTCCGAGGCCATCCGAAGAGTCATCTTGGAGGAGATTGATCAAATGAGGGGCCGTAGTACATTAGGGCCCCCCCCAGGAGGCCCACACGTGGCCAACGCGTTAGTAACATCAATGATTCTGGCTTCCTCGTCGATTTTGAATTTGGCCTTCGTCGAATCAGTGATTTAGGCCTTCTCGCTGAGGCTTCTTTGTGCGTCTTCTGTGCCTCTGGAGGGCCTCTTGGGACGTCTTGGGGGTACCTTGTGGTATCTTGGGGGCCTCTTGGAGGCATTTTGGGTGCATTTTGTGTGCCTCTTGGGTTCTCCTGGGCACCTCTTAGGGCCCTCCTGAGTCACCTTTGGGAGCCTCGGGGGGGGCATCTCGGGGCCATTAGGAGGAGATCGACCAAATAAGGAGGAGGCTCTAATTATACCACCCCTCCCAGGATGCCGAAACGTGGCCAAAACATTAGTAACATCAACGATTGTGGCTTCCTCGCCGAGGCCATCTTGGACGCTCCAACCCCTCGCGAACAGGTCCAGGGGGAGGAGGGAGGGTTAAACCCCTCCTCGAAGCGGAACAAGGGGGGTTGGAAGAGGAACATTCTGAACCATTCACGTCCTGAAGGGCTGGTCGGATTCGGAGCACCGCGCCTCTGTGTCCCTCCCCGTCCCGTCCGATTCTTACTCCTTCCCCTTCCTCTTACCCTTCCACTCCGCCTCGTCCTCATCCTCGTGGTGTTCTTTGTTGGTTATTGCCTAATACAGTGAGGTGAGGCCCGTTGGTTCTCTTGTCGTCGTCGTCGGCGTCGTTGTCGCTTGTCCCCGATCGGCCAGCTCCTGCGCCAGGGTGGTTCCGTTTGGGACGATAGCGTCGAGGGCGGCGGAATTGACGCCATGGACAGCATCTACCCCTCGGTGCGGCTGTCGGAGGTTCCCGTGGAGTACACCGAGGAGGTGCTACCGCCCCTTCAGTTGTTTCCTCCCTTCATTGAAGGCCAAAGCAGCAGGTTTTCAGAGCTTGGCTTGACATCTTCGGGCAGTTTTGGTGTGTAGGAAGGAGTCCCATAATACAGCCAGACACAGTGTATCTTTGCATTCAAGAGGTACGCGTGGTGTTCTCGCACAGTCGGAAACAGAGGTGTAGTTCGTGACAGCGTCGGCCTGCCCCGTGTGGTTGGTTGTGGCAGGTCCTGAAGAATATAGCCAACCACACGCCGAAACGCTGGAGACGGACTGGACCAGGGGTGCCCGAAAGAGTGGGCATATTCAGTCCTAGAACAGAAAGGGAACCAAAGGAAGTTGCGCAGTCAATTGCTTGTCCGTTGTCAGGCGAGCCTGAGGCGTGTGTACCTATAATGCCTTGTATGTTGCACTAGTATGGGTATGCTTGGCGAACGATTGGTTATCAGCCAAAAGTCTCTCCTTCTTCCCAACAGTCAGAAAGCTATCAATAGAGCTTTACCAGAAAGGGGGTTTCGCAGGTGCGCCCTGATTATCCACGAGCGCCTAACGCAGGGGCCAGGTGGCTCACACCCCTGGGCCGTGGTTAGAGTCCGTTCATGGAAAAGGGGGCAGTCGCCCGGCTTACCTGCGGTTGCTGGCGGTGTCACGAAAGAAGGGGCAGTTGCTTCCTCCCTCTTTCGAAGGCCAAAACAGCAGGTTTCCAGAGCCTGGCTTGACATTTTCTAGCAATTCTGGTGTGTAGGAAGGAGTCCCAGAATACAGCCAGACGCAGTGTATTTTTGCATTCGAAAGGTACGTGTGATTTTTCGCACAGTCGGAAACAGAGGCGTCGTTCGTGACAGCGTCGGCCTGCCCCGTGTGGTTGGTTGTGGCACGTCTTGAAGAGGATAGCCAATCACACGCCGAAGTGCTGGAGACGGACAGGACCAGGGGTGCCCGAAAGAGTGGGCATATTCAGTCCTCGACCAAAAAGGGAACCAAAGGAAGTTGCGCAGTCAACTGCTTCTCGGCGACCCTGGCGCGGTTGTCCGTTGTCATGCGAGCCTGAGGCGGGTGTACCGAGGATGCCTTGTATGTTGCACTAGTACGGATAATTATGTTTGGCGAGTGACTCATGGACAGCATCTACCCCTCGGTGCGGCTGCCGGAGGTTCCCGTGGAGTACACCGAGGAGGTGCCACAGCCCCTTCAGCAGTTTCTGAGTCCCCCCCCGGCAGGGTACGTTTTCGTTCCTCGGGCGCAGTTTCTGTATTGTGGTCGGTGGGTAGGGGGGGAGGTAGGTGCGCGCGCGCGTATGCTTTCGCGGCTTTTTCGGCCTGCGTTTTTTTGTGGCCTTGCCGCTTTCAACTCGCTCTCCCCGTCGCTCCTTGACGTAGTCCCTTGTCGGTCCACACTGGCCGACTCGTTCTCCGAACGTTCACTCCCAGTTGGCTTATGTCACCTTTCACCCTCGCCGTAGTTTCGTCTACACATCGCCTTTTCTTGCCATCCAGGCCCTGATGGTTATGGCTGGTGCCGGCTGGGATACCGCAAGCGGTCTCTGAAAGCTCGAGTGGGTTCATTGCTTGCGCTCGACGTTCTACGCCCCCGTCGCTGCGCGCGAGACCGCGCCGCCACACATGTTCACAAGAATGTTTGTATGTATATAAATGGTTCTATATATATGAGTATATATAAAACGATTTACGCATATAGTGTTATATGTACACATTCATGTTTGTGTGTATGCATGTATGCATGCGTGCATGGACGTATGCACGTATATTTATATGTCTGTGCATATATATATATATGTATATATGTATGTATATGTATATGTATATGTATATGCATATGCATATGCATATGCATATGCATATGTATATGTATATGTGTGTACATGTGTATGTATATGTATCTGTATATGGATATGTAGATATATATGTAGATGTAGATGTAGATGTAGATGTAGATGTAGATGTAGATGTAGATGTATATGTACATGTATACGTAGATGTATATGTAGCTGTATATGTATATGTAAATGTATATGCATATGTAGATGTGGATGTATATGTATGTGTATATGTATATGTATATGTATATGTATATGTATAGGTATATGTATATGAATATGTATATGTATATGCATATGTATGTGTATATGAACATGTATATGCACACATACATATATACAAATATATGTATATATATATACGTATACATACATGTATATATAATATATATCGCAATTTGGGAAAGTATGCGGGTCAGAAGAGGGCAGAGGTCGGATGGATCGCCCTGACTACAATGTCATTCGGTCCCTTCCTATCGCCACCGATGAAAAAAAGGCCCGTAAAGATCGTCCGATCGCTCCCCGGATGGCTCAGCTGGTTGGGGCGGCAAGCCAATTCCGATCTGGCGCCGACGACACAATATCGTTGTGGTCAAGCAGAAAGTGGGACAAACGAGACCATTTCACCCGCCTGTGGCGGGAAACTTGTGGAGTGTCCGCCCAACTCACAGAAAGGAATGGGGCGGGATAGTGTCCGTTCATGGGGATCTATTTTACGAGGGCAAATTTCGAATGACCCCCGACGGTTCTGCGGTTTCCAAAAAAAAATCCCCGGATTGGCAAACATAGCAAACATTGGTATTTGCACCCGCACGGGCAACGATGAATATGCACCATTTCAAAGACTTGTCACAGATTTCGCGACACTTATTTGTCACAGAAGGAGATCCAAGTTGACGCAGACAAGAGCATAGCTGACTCACAATCACATGGGACGATCGTCACCAAGCCCGGTTGTTTCCGGTTTGAAGTTCCGCGGGTCGGTAACGGAAGATACGCATGCGCGCGGCTGTGCAGCTTCCGATATGGTAGGGAAGGATGTCCACAACGCAACACGTTGGTGAAACGATGCCGCAACACTCGGGACCACCAAGACAAATCAACGATAGTTGTGGAAGACGATCAATTGAGAGGAAGTATGTTGCCGAACAATTTCCAGATGTGTGAAAACATGTTTTACGCATGGGAAAAATGGTAGAAACATCCATAACAATTTCTCGTCATTTAAAACACCTTTATATTTCAATGATCGGATTGTTGAGATGTCCTTTGCCGTCGTATCCACATCGATGGAGATGATAGGCACCTTGCTTCAAACGCGGGATGCCTGCAGATTGATCGTAGGCCCACATGGGGCCTATCCGAGTCAGCTTGATCCGAATCCGTCAATCGATCGCCCCGAGCAAAAGCATTCTTCGAAAACTGTTCAGACCAATCTTAAAATGTTCGTGAAACACCAGCGACAATGGTTCAAGCAAATTTTAGGAAAGACAAGTCATTGGCGGGTATGACAGGCATGGCCAAGGATATGTACATGCTTCCCCCGTGGTTGGCGGTCAAGACTCTTGCTATACCACTTATCGGACATGAGGCGTATTTCCGTTTCATGGACCCACTCCAAAAGAGTCTCATTGCTCACATTTTCTGGAAGGTTGATAATACCAAGGCATGCCCATGGTGGCCGATAATCTGGAAACATCTGGAGACTAAGGAGACACCGGCGGAATTACCACTTCGTTGTGCGTTCATTTGGACACGCGTGGATGACGGCGCGATTGAGCCAGGAGGGCGGTGGCAATCGTGGGGGGACAGGCTCACTGCGGATGGAACGGATCCTCCAGTGGCAACGCGGCTGGTACATAAATGCGCGGCTAAGATCAAAGACGCGCGAGTCGACCATGATATTGATGTTTGGAATGCCCAGTGCTCAACGCCAAGGCCCCGAAGCACCTTCCGGTGTTCATGACCGAAAGCTCTGAGAGAATGAGGCGCGGCCAGTTATTGGGCCTTGGCCCGGGCCGCCCTAATTTCTGCATTTTAGACCGGGCAGTCGTCGGCGCGTGGTCCAACAGACCCGAGATTCAATTTGAGGGCAGCCCGCGTTCATTGTCATTGGCAAAGTCGCCATGCGCTGGAGGCGATTTTGATGAATGGATGGAATTTTCTTACTCCAAAGACCTAGATGCCCATGGAGTTGATTGATTGTTCCCTCGAGTGTATCACAGTCGCTCATTCCCGGAGCGCCCAGGCGTGACGGCGCGCGCCGAAGATGCTGCCAGCGTGGGGCAGGATCCAGGGGCGGCAATGTCAGTTGATTTTTCGAGCGGTGAAATAATGAACGCCGTAACTATACTCATGGGTGACGACGCGATAATTGGGCCAGATTCTGACGGCAACGCTGGTCAAACATGCGCCACAGCCAGCGCCGCTAAACTTTTGTTTGGTTGCCGGGGCAAGAACCTCAAGCCATAATTATTGGATCGCAGACCGTGCGCGCGCTGTTTCTAGCTTGCTGTGGAATCGATCTGAAGTGACGTCGAGGCGCCGTCGTCGTTTCGGGCTCAATGGGCATGCGGCAGAGGGGCCTTGATCTTGCTGCGAACGGAGTCCTGGCCTACCTAGCCCGCTGCCCACGGCGGCCCGCCTGTCCCGCGATCCCCGCGTGTCCAGTGCATGACTTTCATTGCGGCGCGGCGCCGCCTCGCCCGCCGCGCGCGGCGTGCATGGCGCCGAGTTCGACAGCCGAGTCGCAGACCGGGCAGGGGGAGTGCCGGGCCGCCGGGCGCTGGTATAGCAGTATAGCACGGTGCTGGCGCTGGGCGCGACCTTTGGAGTCTTCGGGGCCGCGCTGATACAGGGGCTGGCGCGCTGCTTGAGAGCGGCGCTTCGTGCGCGAGAGGGGCCCACTCAGAGTTTGGAGGTTCCAGGTGCTGCTGCTGTTCCAGTGGCGTTAACGGGCCCTGTGACTCCACGCAGCAGGAATGGCAAGCACTCTCGATTGTAAGTGCACCCAGGCTCTGGTGGATCACCCTGGGAACGACCGTGGTTTCAATTGGCGCCATCGGCAACTGCCCCATCGGGTTGAGGGATCGCGATGGATCTGCCTGGCGCCTGATTCCGAGTTGTTGATGGTCGATTTCTCGGTGGCGCGTCATCG